TCTTCTTTACCTGCTAGCATATCTGCTAAAACCTATTTCTTTAGGATTCCAGCCTATATAGAAGACTGTCTAAAGCATCTAGCCTTGTGTGATTGAGCAACTATTAGATTCTTGGACTTCTCATTCATACCTGCCCACTGTTGGGTTAGTTGGACTGCAGACTGTAAGTCATTCCAATAAATTCCCTTAACATAGACATTCCATAAGTTCTGTGACTCGAGAACCCTGATCTCTGTGAATTCAAAGCCAGCCTGGTTTACAAAGCTCCAGGACACCCAGGGCTCTTCTACACAGAAAAACCCTATGTCAAAAAGCAAAAAACAAACCAACAACAACAAAGAAAGATATTGGGGCTGGTAAAATGGCCCAGTTGGTAAAGTGCTTACTTGAGTTTGAGCCCCAGAATTCATGTAAAAAGAGATGTGTATTCATAGAGTACTTGCAATCTTAGTGGTGGAAAGGCATAAACTAGTATTCCCTTAGAGTTCCCTGGCCAACCATTTTACCTACTTGGGAGTTCCAGGTAAGTGGGAGACTTTGTCTCTAAAACAAGGAAATGGTAGATGATTCCTGAGGAACGATACCCAAGGTTGTCCTCTATCCTATATACACCTTGCCTGCATACACAGGCTCACACATCTGTGTATGTATGCACTTTCTATGAGGGCATGCAGACACAGGCACTGACACGTGTGCATAAAAAGCTGAAATGAACTTACAGCTTTTTAAGACACCAGATTATTCCAGATAGGGACCATTTTATCAAGGCTTCTAGGATTTTTTTTCTTCCTTCTAATAAACCACTTATCTCCTCTCCCTTTAGCTCCATAGTTCAAAGGTCTAGTAGCCTTCTTGGAGAATTGCCCCAGTTCAAGACTTTCTGGAAGTCTTTAAAGGTTCTCTAAAGGTAAGAGTAGTCTTCACAGATCTGCCCCTACCCATCAGAGCCACTATGATTTGGGGTAATATGACAAGCCATCTGCTTTTGTATAGTTACAAAGCCAGCCTGTAGAGACAGTATTGGGTGCATTTGTTTGGTCAGTTCCCCTGCTGCAGGGTAGTTAGCAAGTGGTTTTCAACTGGAAAGAATTGGGATACAGTTTGGCAAACCTTGTTGCGTTTGCAGTCCTGTTCAAAATAAATACTATGGGCTGAATTTGTTCTGGAGCCTTGTTTGTCTGTCTGTCTGTTATTTTGGTTCTGAATTAAACTCACAAAGGGGAAAGATGAAGCTCAGTTCCAGCTAAAGACCCTCCCTCTGAGCAGGGTCTTGCTAAACAACCCGTGTTGGTCTTGAACTCACTACCTGCTTCTTCTGCATCAATCCTTTCCTGGTATTGAAATTATAGGTTTATGCACCATGTGCTGGGCCTTTTGTATCCACCGCCACCCCCACCAAGTATTTTCTGGATAAAGAGAACTAAATAAAGCTGTTTATCTTGCAAATAGCCAGGAGCTCCAACACTCAACTAGTCTGAAAGAAGCAAAATTTTCTTTAAAACCAGTTGAGACTTCTGTTTTGTAGCTACAAAAAGTCAGATGTCTTTGGAGCCACATCTGGCATTGGATGTAAGACTATTGCCTTTTTTTGAGACAGGGTTGCACTCTGCAGTGCCAAGCTGACCTGGAACTCATTATCTAACACGGGTTTGCTTTTTTTATTTTCAAAGATTTTATTTATTTATTTTATATACATGATGAGTACACTATAGCTGTCTTCAGACACATCAGAAGAGGGCATTGGATTCCATTACAGATGGTTGTGAGCCACCATGTGGTTGCTGGGAATTGAACTCAGGACCTCTGGAAGAGCAGTCAGTGCTCCTAACCACTGAGCCATCTCTCCAGCCCCCCAGAATTTTTCTTTTCTTTTCTTTTTTTGTTTGTTGTTGTTGTTTTTGAGACAGGGTTTCTCTGTGTAGCCCTGGCTGTCCTGGAACTCACTCTGTAGACCAGGCTGGCCTTGAATTCAGAAATCTGCCTGCCTCTGCCTCCCAAGTGCTGGGATTAAAGGCGTGCGCCACCACTGCCTGGCACAGGTTTGCTTTTAATTTATGGGAATCTTCCTCCCTCAGCCTCTGTGGAGTTTACTTTCCAAGTGTGAGTCACCACACATGTGTAAAAGTACTACTTTAAAACATATTTTACTATAGCCTGGAACACCAGAAGAGGTCTTCAATCTGGTGAAGTTTCTGATATTATTTCTTTGAAGCAATGCTCTAAAAAGTAACTGGTATCAGAATAAGTGATTTTGTCAGTGACTGGCTGCAAGATGATGAGACCATACAAACCAATCATTTTTTTTCTTTTTTTTTTTTTTTTTTTGGTTTTTCGAGACAGGGTTTCTCTTTGTAGTCTTGGCTGTCCTGGAACTCAGTCTGTAGACCAGGCTGGCCTCGAACTCAGAAATCCGCCTGCCTCTGCCTCCCAAGTGCTGGGATTAAAGGCGTGCGCCACCACCGCCTGTCAAACCAATCATTTTTGTTGTGAGATGTTTCCGTTGGTAGTTGCAGAACTGTGAACCTCTATTCCAGTAATATGCACTCATTTAATCTTATGTTCCAATTGTTTAGTTTTAAAACGAGTTTAGAAACACAAAGTTCTTTCTCTTGTCCACTAAGGATGTGAAAAGCAGCAGAGAATGTCTGTAAAAATCCTGTGTGCTTTAGCAAAACTTTTCACTGTATTAAGTAATACTTTGGGTTTAAGGAGTGTCTTTACTCCAGTTCAAACTGTGACGGAAAAAGAAAGTATCATTTTTCCAACTGTCAATCACTAACGTCTTTCTAAAAGACCTAGAAGGCTGTTAATGAACGTTATTTGATAGCTATACCGCGGAGTCTTCCTCTTCCAACCTAGACTCTTTAGGATCGAACTGAAGAGTTAGAAACCAAGGCAGGGAGAAAAAGATGTGACACCAGTCAGCAAGGGGAAAATGCCAACCTCAAGCACTTGGATGTGTAGCGTCCAGGCCACCGTCCTTTGTGGGATTTACAATTTAAACGGGCCTCAAAGCACGAGATTGGCTGGGGAACTGCCCTAAGCGCAGTTGGGCTGCTCGCATGGCATTGCTGTTACCTCTGGCTGGGCTCCGTCGACGTCCGGAGCCTGCGAGCCCGTCGGGCAGCTGTCGAGCCGCGGGAGCTGGTTCGTAGGCAGGGCCGAGCAGCTTGGGCTGCCGCTGCCCCATCGCTGACCCTCGCGCGAAGCTACGCACACTGACTGGAGACATTTTCCCGGCTGGGCCTCCCTCGAAAGCCGCGGCCCTGGGGTTAGGGGCGGCCCGCGCCCCTCTCCGTGGGGGGTGCCCCGACTCGCGGGGGGCGGGGTCACGTCCCACCCGGGCCGCCGAGGGCACCGGCGCTACGGAAACCTGAGCGTGGCCAACAGCAGGGGCTTCCTGGGCCACCTCCCTGGGAGCCTGCGGCCCGCAGTGGGTGCGCTAGCCGCTGCCACCCCTGAGCCGTCGTGGCTCCCACTCTCGCGCACAGCACCTGTGGACTCCCTTGTCAAGCGTCTGGAGCTCCCCTGAGGGGACAGAGCCCAGGATAGACATGCTACTACTACCGTTTCCTGCCCCTTCCGAGCGGCGAGGAGTGGGTGAGGCGAAACCGGTTCGCTGCACAGAGGAGCCCCCCCGTGCTAAGAGCGGCCAGGCCCTGCAGCGGGGGCGCAGGGGCCTACTTCGGGATGGCGAGCAGGTGGGCCTTGGCCCCACGGCCGGCGCGTGAGGGAGGGCGCCCGGCGGGAGTGCGCTGCTTTTATGCACCCCCTGGGTCTGAGAAGGCCCGAGCGAAGCGCCCGGGTCTGGCCCATTCCCATGGCTTGACCCCGGGGGACCCCGCGTTGAGGCGGCCAACGGCTGCCCTGACCCAGGCCGCCTGGCCCTCATTTGTGAGGCTGACCACCTAGCAGAGGTGGCTGTAGGGGAAGGGGAGATGCTTCCTACTGCTTGGGGTAGGATGTTGTGTTTTGTGGGGGTCGGGGGGTCACAACCCTCCCTAGAGTAGTGGGGGAGGGCGGCCGGCGCAGCTGGCTGGCGATGGGCGGGGTCACAGGCGAAGTTTTGTGTGTGTGTGTGTGTGTGTGTGTGTGTGTGTGCGTGTGTGTGCGTATGTGCGCGCGCGTGTGTGTGTCTGTGTGTGTGTGTGTTGAGAGTGCGGGTGTGGGGGAGACCGCGCGCGGAGGAGGCTCGCAACTTGCGCGCAGGCGCAGGCATCCGGCCTTGCCAAAGACCTGAAAGGAGGCGGGCAGGGAGCGGGGGCGGTAGGCCGGCCAGAGGGCGTGCGGGCTGACGCGGGGGGGGGGGGGGGGGGGCGGGGAACCGCGTCGGCGTCGCGGGGCGCGGGCGATTCGAGGCCGACGCATCCGCGCGTGCGCGCTCCGGCAGTGTGTCCGCGTTAGAGGGGAGTGACGCGTGCGCGTTCACGTGTGTCCGGGAGAGCGGTAAGACGCGCAGGGAGGCTTGAAGGAGGTGGGGGTGGAGAGGCAACGGGAGGAGGGGGTGGTGGTGAAGAGAGGGCGCCTGCGCAGTAAGCCCGGAGGAGCTGTGTGTATGTGAGAATCTGACGGGTTCAAAATGGCGGCGGCTGCTTCAGCGGATCCTCCTGTGTGAGGGAAACAACACCCCTCCCCGGCGGCGGCGGCGGCGGCGGCGGGCCGCAGAGCACCTTTCCAGCTCCTGGGCCTGTCGCAGCTGTTTCTTTCCCGGGCAGTAAGCTCTTCGTGTGGAAGGGCAACGTCAGGGGGCCCATCCCCCGGAGTCTCTGCTCTGCTACTGGGGAGTAGCTGGGGGGTCTAAGGGGGATCGTCCCGCAGCGCAGAGTCCCGGCTCAGGGGACGACGTAAAGGCAGCCGAGGGCCCCCAGTCAGGGCGCTTCGCTGCTCCCGCCCTCTCCGCCCCCCGGGGCCGGGGCCCGCGTTCCGGGGGGCCGGGCGGCGCGGGGAGCGTCGGCCGGGCGGGTCTCAGCTGATCGGCCTCGGTTCCTGGGCTTCGGAAGCAGCTGTGGCCGGCTGAGGGTACCGAGAAGAGGGTGTTTCCCGCGGCCGAGTTGGCCCGGGTCTCGGCTGGGGCTGCTGACCGCCAGCTTGGGGGAGTAGCCGAGTGGTCTTGCTTTCCTGACGCCTCGGACGCGGAGTCTGTAAAGCCAGAAGAGGAGGTTTGATTCAGTAACTGTTTCCTCTTTTCCGGGTCGCTCTGACCCTTCTCTGGATACTGGGTTAATACACAGAAATACCGAAGACGACGTTTGGGATTTTATTTTTTTCTGTGTTTGGAATTTTACTTCTCTCTTGGACAAGAACTCAAGAACAAAATCCTCGGTGAGATTTCGCGTGCCCCCTCCCCCGCCCTGGGAAGTTTGGTTCCCGGTCTTATCTAAAGACTTAATGTAAAGTTTTTATTTCTTTGTAAGGGGTGAGGCATAGAAACGCCTTTTCCCTAGGGGAGCAGTCGAGGTTTACCGCTTTGCTGTCCGGCCCTGGCGGCACTCGTCCAGGGGGTGCAGACTGTGTCCCTCGCGACCGAGGCCGAGGAGGACAGTGCCACGAACTGCTCTCGAAAACTATGTCATCGGGTCCTCTGAAAGGATTCTGTTAACGTGGCCGTAATGTAGTTACAAGAGAGAAAAAACATTTGTATATCCAAGTGGAAGCCATTATTCAGGAGAAAGATTATTTAGAAAAATGAAAACCCTTGCTTGGTGTTGTGGATTGATTGACGTGCCAACCGGTCTTTATTTAATAGATGTTTCACCTGTATCCATAGATCGAGACGTTTCATTTATTATTTACTCATCAAGATTAGATTGTATTTTCGCCTCCGTTTGCAACTCTCAAATTTGTTCCATAGTTGTACACCTTTAGGTGGATGGTAGTTTTGGGAAGGCAATGATTCCTTACTAGAAGGATATGGGGCATTGGTTTGGAATCTTTCTGTTAAACCTAATTTTTCTTGCCCTCTTTTTTATGAAAGTAACCTACCCATTTTGCTCATAATTTGTCATTACCTGTTTGAGAATTCATTGGTTTAGGATCTAGATTAGTTTTGTGTGTACTTCACCTGGTCATTCAGCACTTTAGAAATAAAAGTCCTTCGTGGGTTTGGTGCTACACACCTTTGCCAGCACTGGGCAAGCAGAGGCAGTCGGATCTCTTGTAAGTTGGAGGCAAGTCTGGTCTACCTTGTGAGTTCCAAGACCACCAGGGCTATGTAGAGAGATCCTGTCTTAGAACAACAATAACAGCAAAACTTAAAAAAAAAAAAAAAGAAAACATACAAAAGAAGAAAAGTAAAAGTCCTGAGGCTTTTCACCTGTATGTGTATCAGTGTTAAGGGTGTTGGATCCCTTGGAACTGGAATCAGTGAGTTGCCTTGTGGTTGCTGGGAATTGAACTTGGATCCTCTTGAAAAGCAGCCAGTGCTCTTAAGCACTGAGCCATGCCTTCAGTCCCCTCTCCCCTCCCCTCCCCTCCTCTTCCCTCTCCTTCTCTCCCCTCCCCTCCCCCTATTCATCTATCTATCTATCTATCGATGGATCTAACAATCATCTGTCTACGTATGTATCTACCTACCTACCTGCTTATTGCTAATGTTAGCAGGAAGAGTTTTGCTAATTGCAATCCCATGAGTAGAAACAAGTGATGTGGCTGGTCCTAAGGAACTGAAACCAAAGTCTCCTTTTCCTTAGGTCTTTTATAGTTGTGATGTGATTAATATTGACAAGACATGGCACCATTTGCCCAAGAGGATAAAGGATTCTCAAAGAGCCTTTAACTCAATGAGAAGGAGGTATAAGTTCCAGAATGAGTTCTTATTTCTCTTCATTTTCTTTGTAAATTTGGATCCTTAGGAAGAGGAAAGCATCCCGGGAGTGGTTTCTTTACAGTACTTCCATCAGAAGAGTGAGAGATGGAACCTGAAGAAGAAAGGATTCGGTACAGCCAGAGATTGGTTAGTATTTTCAATTCCCTTCTTTAAAAAAAAATTTTAGATGGTATTTTCTGTGTACCAGAGGAGGAGTGAAAGTATATTAATATCTCACTTGTTTTTTGTTTTGTTTTTTTGTCAAGTAGTTAGAATCTTAATTTATAGTGATTGGAAATGGAGTTAAAGCCTTAAGTTTTTTTTTTAGAAATCATTGCAGTTCTGAAAATCAAAGGATTTTGTGGATTGTAATGAGACAAAGATTCCTAACTTGGCAATAGTGACATTGTAGTAAATCTAATTAAGTTGTATTAAAATGTAAATTTTAAGAACAAACCAGGGAAGGATAGTTTTATTTAATATTTTAGTATTAGTGTTATTTGACTATTTAACAACTGTAGTTTCTGAGCTGGGGTGTTAATAAGCTATGGATGTTTTTGGTAAGTTAGCAGTATGGTTATTTTAATAAGTTAACAGTTTGGAGAGTTGCTATGACTGATTTGAGAACAATACTGGATGCTGATAAAGTTCTTTTGTCTTTTAATATTTTGGAAGGAATTTATGAGACATGTTACTGAATGAAAACTTTATAGTTTAGACATTAGTTTGTACATGGGTTTGAATACTTTTAGTTCTGTTTTTCTTTCAAGGTTACTCTTGGAGTTTAATGATTTTGGTTTCTCCTTAGTCAGAGAGACCTTTATTAGTATTGTTAACTATGTATTCATTTTGAACATTTGAATTTGTGTTTGTAGAGTAGAATAGGAGAGACACAGAATTGTATGAAGTATGTGAATTCTAGACCTAGAATATTGCTGAAGATTTTATGTGGTTTCATTTGGCACTGTTTTTGAAGAAAAGTGAGAAACAGTTCTCTAATCCATTTTCTGATGATCTTCACTCTTAGAGAAAAGGCTATAGATTTGTGGGTGGTTTTTTTTTTTTTTTTTGAGATAGGTTCTCATTGTAGCCTTGAGTGGCCTGGAATTTGTGGCAATCTTTCTGTCTCAAACTCATGAATGCTGGAATTGCAGGTGTGAACTACCTTAACTTGCTTTCTTTTGGCTTTTTCTTTTGTTGATGTGCTTGTTAAAGAGATTTGAAGTGGAGGATTGAAGAGATGGCTCAGTGGTTAAGAGTACTTGCTGCTCTTCCACAGGACTTGATTCAATTCTTAGTATTATATGGAGGCTTACAACTATCTGTAACTCTAGTTCTAGAGAATCTAATGTCCTCTCCTGACCAAACACATACATGGTGCACTGACATATATGCAGGCAAAACTCACATAAAATGTCTAATTTAAAAAAATTTGCTGGGCAGTGGTGGCGCACACCTATAATTCCAGCACTTAGGAGGCAGAGGCAGGCGGATTTCTGAGTTTGAGGCCAGCCTGGTCTACAGAGTGAGTTCTAGGACAGCCAGGAAGACACAGAGAAACCCTGTCTCGAAAACAAAAAAAAAAAAAAACAAAAAAAAATTTAAAGGTTGATATGAATTGGCAAGTATGTCTAACATGCATATGTTCTGGTTAGCCTTATTTTAGAGACTTGTTTTGCATTCCTAAATTCATATCTGTTTATAGTGGTTTTTATTCCAGGGCAGTGGTGCTGCACTCCTTTAATCTAGCATTTGGTGGGCTGAGATAGGCAGATCTCCCAGTTCTTAGATCAGGTTGGCTTCAACTGGGAAATCTGCCTGCTTCTGCCTCCCAAACACTGAGACAGAAGGTGTGCACTACCATGCCCAGCCAAGTATTTTCTAATGAATGTAAATTTAAATACTTAAAATGATCTTGTTTATTTATTTACTTATTTATTTTAGACAGGGACTGGGTCTTGCTAGGTAGACCAGGCTGGCTTCTAACTCAGAGATCTCCCTTCCTGTATGTCCCCAGAGCTTGGATTAAAGTTGTATGCCACATTGCCTGGATTTTGATATTTCTTGAATTTCTTTGGGAACAGGAAAGAGAATGGTACAGAAACTTAGCCACTGATGAATGAAATTTATTATTGTTTAAAGATTTATTTCTTATTTTATGCATATGAGTGTCTGTCTACATCAATGAACGTGTACCATATGCATTCAAATGCCACAGAGGCTATAAAAGGTTATTGGATCCCCTGGAGTTGGAGTTAGATTTTTGTGAGCCACTATGTGGGTTCTGGGTATTAATCCTGCAAGAACAGCAAGTACTCTTAACTGCTAAGGCATCTCTCTAACCTCTGGGATTAATTTTTCAAGTTTATAGAATTGTTGAACTGTTTTAATAGACACCTAGAAGGTCTTAGAGTCTAATGTTTAAAAGAAGTAGCTTTTTCAGCAAACAAAGCTTCATATTTTTAGCAAAGTCTTGTCATTAGGATATCTAGAATTTTTGTGACTTTTGTCCTGATAAGATTTTTTTTTTTTTTAAATGTGTTAGGGTATTAGGTTATTTCTATCTGGCCACCTTTTCTAGCATATTTCTTCTTAGTTAACGGACTATTGCACAGGTGTGTAAAATAATATATTGTATGTTTTAGGAAAAGTCTTTCTTAGCATTTTGAATAATAATTTTGAGGCTTAGAGTGTCTGATGTCTCTTCATTTCAAAGTTTTTATCTCAGCCAGGCACACACCTTTCCAGCACTTGGGAGAGGCAGGCTAGTAGTCTCTGAGTTCCAGGACAGCCAGGAAATCCTGTTTCAAAAAACAAAACAAACAAGTGTGTATAAGTGTGTGTGTGTGTGTGTGTGTGTGTGAATTATAAATACCTTCCATAAAGAACTTTTTTATATGTATGTATATTTGTGCTTGTGTATATGTATATGCTTGCATGTCGGGTCTGGAAGACAGCTATGGTAATCATCTTCCTTGATCAGGTCACCTTCTCTGTTTTCTGTTTACCTATGTTTGTGTTCACCTGGAGTGTTTATGCAGGCCGTAGGTTAACAGTTAAGTGTCCTTTTCTACTGCCCTCACTGTATTTTTGAAATGATTTTGAAAGAGGTTTTCACTGACCCCTGAGACTTGGATTTTAGCTATACTGACTAGCCAGCAAGTCCAAGAACCTGCCTCTTTGTACCCCTCTGAGCCTTGGGGTTACAGTTGTTCATGAACACATTTAGCTATTCAGCTTTAACATTAGAGCCATCTTTTCAGCCATCCACTTTTTTATTTTTTTGCAGTAGGGTCTCATATAGCCCAGGCTGGTCTTTTGTATTTTTGAGGATGACTTTGAACTTAATAATTCTTCTCCCTCCACCTAAGTGCTAGGATTATAGACATGATTCACAATGTTCAGCTTTTTACCAGGGTGCTAAGGATCAAACTGAGATCTTCATGATTATAGGGCAAATACTTTACCAACTGGGCCCCATAACGTAATCTTTTAAAATTAAAAAAATATATATATACATATATATATATATACACACACACACACACACACAGACACACACACACACACTCTCTCTCACACTTTTAACATTTGTCCTAAAAAAAAAAAAAAAAAAAAGGATTTCCATGTAGATAAATAAGGCTGGCCTAAAGCTTGTAATGATCCTGCTTGTGACCCTCCGTCTTGAATACTGGGATTGTAGGCACCACACCTGGGTTTAGTAAGATACTATATTTTTAAGTGAGTTTTAAGACTCATATGAAGCCACCCCACCCTCCTAACTGCTTATAACTCTGGTTCCAGGGGTTCTGATGCCCTCTTCAGATCTCCATGGGCTCTTGCCTGTTTGTGCTAGACACCTTCCCACCCCCACCCTCAAAGACAAACCCGGGCAATGCTGAGAAACCTTGTCCCTTGTCTCTCTCTGTCATTTTTTGTTGTTCTTAAAAAGTTACAGATAGGGCTGGAGAGATGGCTCAGTGGTCAGTGGTTAAGAGCGCTGACATTCAGAGGTCTTGAGTTCAATTCCCAGTAACCACATGATGGCTGACAACCATCTGTAATGGGATCTGATGTCCTATTCTGGTGTGTCTGAAGACAGTGACAGTGCACTCATATACATAAATACATCTTTTTTAAAAATGGGAGTTTAGAATTTTTTAAAAAGTTATATAGATATAGAAAATACTACACTGTGATGGGTCAAAAAACAAAAACATACTGTTACTGGCTAACAGCAAAGGGCTACAAAGAAATACAGCATGCAATCAGTGTAATAATGACCTAATCTAGTCTAGTCTACACTTAGTAATGGGGCTGAGGTATCAAAAGACACTTGATAAATGTGTTCAAAACTGAGACCTGGATAAGGTGAAAAAGAGGCAAAATGGAGGAGTGATTAGTATATACACAAACCCCAAAGCTGGAAAAGACTTGACATTTTTGAGAGACCTCTGAAGCAGTTAAAACTCTAAAAAGGCTGGGCAATTTTGGCTTACACTTTTTAATCCCAGCACTCAGGTGGATCTTTCTCAAGGCCAGCGTAATCTACAGAGCCATATCCAGGACAGCCAAATCTACAGAATAAAAAACTTTGTCTTGAAAAGCCAAAACTACAACAACAACAACAACAACAACAAAGCTAAAAAGGTTAGTATAATTATAGAGGTGTAATTGAAGGAGTTAGAATATTGTCAAAGTAGTAGGGGTGGTCAAATAAAGCATTACACATGTAGTGGGAGGAAATTGCAGACTGAAGACTTGAAAGATTCAACAGAATAGCCTTATGTTTAGATTATAGTATCTGACCAAATTGCAGAAAAAATTGGAATTATAATACATTATCCCAGATAATCTCTGGGAGAGTGCAGGAATGGATATTTTGGTGGTACAGGTAGTATATTGGTATTGGATTGTTGAGAGCTGATAGGAAAATTAGAGGGAATAATTTGAAAAATACTTACAGAAAGCATCATAGACTTTTCATTAGATGTTTTGAGACATGTAAAGGAGATGTACATGTGATTCCCAGGTTTTCCTCCTGTGTGGCTTATAGTTTTTTAAGATAGGGCACACTTTTAAAAGAAGGACACATTTGGGGGTTGAGCAGAGGAGCACACTTTTTTTTTTCATTGCATTTTATTTAT